TGTGTATCAGGTTTGTCCTGGCGATATTATAAGTATTTTACATAAATAATGTATATTGTACCCCTACAAATAATTATTTTATGTACATCTCCAGTAATACTTTACACAAATTATTTGACAGTACTGAATTCAAGACAATGTTTCATGTACAAAGAAAAAATATAATATACAGAGAGGTCGATTATAAAAATTAATACATAGAAAATGAATGAGGACGCTGGTGATAACGTTTACAACATTATAAAGATCACTTCTATCTTTTTAAAAGTGACACAATTGAATATGATTATCAATCTTGTCTTTTTATGTAAGATATTTGATGAAATATACATTATCGTCAACACAAAAAGTATTTTTCATCATTTTCTTTTCTTCCAATGGAGATGTATAGGACAAAAATGATATCATTTCATTTATTTGACAAAGAGTCTGGTAACATTTCATTTTTAAATCAAACGTTCTTGGCATGTGTTGCTGATTTTGAAGATACATGTATATATTTAATTAATTGCATTGTTGCCAAAAATTGCTTTTTAATGAATGCAATGTGATAAGTTTTGTGTGATAGCGTGAATATCCATAGTCCATTAGAAATAAACTTTGAATAATAAATAGAACAAAGTGGTATCTAGTCCATCTCCTCAACGGTTGGCCCTCCACTGCCTGCTGAAGATGAGTTGGCTTGTGGTCCCGGGTGACCTGAGCTACTACCAGCGTGTAATTTAGCCATGATAGGAGAGCATGTCTTCTGCAACTCTTCCAACTTGAACGAGAATTCTTCCTTGTTTGCCAAAGAGTTGTTATCCATCCAAGTAATGACGTCATCAACTGCTTTTGTTACGACTTCCTTGTCGCTGGAGCTAAGCTTGCTCTCTACCGATGCGTCATTGATTGCGGACTTGACGTTGAAGGCATAGCTCTCGAGTTGGTTCCTGACGGCGATGCGTTCCCGCTGAGCATCATCTTCGGCCTTGAATCTCTCGGCATCGTTTATCATGCGATCAATGTCTTCTTTAGATATCCTTCCGCTGTCGTTGGTGATGGTGATCTTGTTGCTACGACCCGTGCTCTCGTCCTTGGCAGTGACGTTCATGATGCCGTTGGCGTCGATGTCGAAAGAGACTTCGATCTTAGGGACGCCCCGAGGTGCAGGAGGGATACCGGATAACTCAAACTGGCCAAGTCGATTATTGTCTTTGGTCATAGCTCTTTCTCCTTCGAGTACTTGGATGGTGACGCCTGCTTGGTTGTCAGAGTACGTTGTGAATGTCTGGGTTGCCTTTGTTGGGATTCTTGTGTTCCTCTCAATGAGCTTTGTCATCACACCTCCTGCTGTCTCAATTCCAAGAGAGAGAGGAGCCACATCGACTAGAAGAACATCTTTGATTTCTTCGCTCTGGTCGCCAGAGAGGATAGCAGCTTGGACAGCAGCACCATAGGCAACAGCTTCATCAGGATTGATAGACTTGTTGAGATCCTTGCCGTTGAGGTATTCCTGGAGAAGCTTCTGGACCTTCGGGATTCGTGTTGATCCACCGACAAGTACCACGGTGTCAATCCTGTTCTTGTCGATCTTAGCATCAATGATGGCCCTTTCTACTGGCTGCAAACACTTTCTGAAGAGATCTGAACACAGCTCCTCGAATCGTGCTCTGCTGATACTGGTGTAGAAGTCGATGCCTTCGTGGAGTGAGTCAACTTCGATGTTTGCTGTAGCACTGCTTGACAGTGTTCTCTTTGCTCGCTCCGCTGCTGTTCGGAGGCGACGGAGCGACCTTGGGTTGGACCTCATGTCTTTCTTATGCTTTCGCTTGAACTCCTCGGCAAGATGATGGACTAGTCTGTTATCAAAGTCTTCTCCTCCGAGATGAGTGTCACCGGCTGTCGACTTCACTTCAAACATCCCATCATCGATGGCCAGGATCGAGACATCGAACGTACCACCACCGAGATCGAAGATGAGGACATGTTGCTCCCCCTTCAGCTTCTTATCGAGTCCGTAAGCTAGGGCGGCAGCGGTGGGCTCGTTGATGATTCTGAGGACGTTGAGCCCTGCGATCACACCTGCGTCCTTCGTCGCCTGTCGCTGTGCATCGTTGAAGTAAGCGGGAACAGTGACGACGGCATCGGTGATCTGCTGGCCAAGATAAGCCTCAGCTGTCTCCTTCATCTTGGTCAAGACCATGGAGCTGATTTCCTCTGGTGCCATTGTCTTCTTTTCTCCTATGTACTCTGCCTGTAGCACCGGCTTGCCTCCTTTATTGATGACGGTGAAAGGCCAGTGCTTCATGTCTGATTGCACGTTGTCATCTGTGAATCTCCTCCCAATAAGACGTTTGGCATCAAATATTGTGTTCTTGGGGTTCCTGTAGTAATATCAGAAATTAAAGAATAGGTCAATGTCAGTTGCAATTGATATAAAACCTGAACAGTGGCCTGATGGTTATGGGAGACAGTCTATAATAAGGAATGAACGTTCATGAAATGGAGATTTTGTTAAAGATGATTTTAATAGTAGAAGTTTATTAACGGTAATGAATTTAGAATCTTCAATGAAGTTTTATCACACTTGTTTGGATATTGATTCGTCCTTAAAGAGTCTACTATATATAAGTTTGCACCCGCAAATAAAATGATTGGTTGGTTATAAATGGAAAAATAATCATTGGTCAATGGCAACTTCAATATTTGATAACATTTTAGGTCTATTTTTTCAAATTTTTTGTCAAATATATTTTCAAACACGTACAAGGAGGCAGGAGAGGAAGATAATATGATAAAAAATACCGTTCATGAATTATTTAACCTGTACAATACTCATCATAGCTTTATAATCAGAAATAAATACACATTGACATTCTATTTAAAAACGAATTTGTTCAAATTCTGTCATTCGCCTTTCAAAGTAAAGTACATGAATCTTCAAACAGCCAAAAGAGAAATAAAGAAAGACAGTTTCTCAATTGAAAATATACAAATCGGATAGGTATAGAAATTTGATAATATACTTACATTGCCACCTGGTTCTTGGCTGCATCACCGATCAATCTTTCTGTATCTGTGAAGGCAACATAACTGGGTGTGGTCCGGTTTCCTTGATCGTTAGCAATGATCTCCACCTTTCCATTCTGAAAGACTCCAACACAAGAATAGGTGGTACCCAAGTCAATTCCAATCGCTGGTGCTTTTCCTGGTGCCATTTTATTGTTCTTCTAGAAGTTTTCAAAAGCAAAATAATGTTTCCGATAAAGATGCAATGAGTGCTCTTGTCTGTAGTCTCAAGTCCTTAGTTTGTAGAATAACTTCGTAGGTGAATTACTTGCTTCAGTTTTCCTCTCGGATTGTCGTGTGAACTGCGACTTGTCGAGTTTCGAATTGAAGCCCGACTGCCGATGAGCCGGGTTATATGGTTCAGACGCCAGCTTCACCAAGATACGAGAAGGTTCTAGTGTAAATGTGACGTAGCAACCTTCGGGGAAATCCCCGATTGTTCTCGATTGTGCGTTGGTCTGTGCAGTGCATTCGCCCAACTGACGTATGACGTCATGTAAGACTGTGCTCCCTTCTCTGTCAATGATTGCGGTGTGCTTTGGAGCGAAGAATGTCAAAGACATGACAACGTTCAATCTCGATTGTCTGCTCGCTTTCTATGTTCTCAGGGATATTTTCCTTCATGTTATGAGTTGAACCCCGGGTTGAACCTTGATTATTCTGGAAGAAAGTAGCAATATTGCAACCAGCTGAAGTAAACAGATTAGTAATAAGCCTGTTGAGGAGTCCATGGCCTTTTTAACGATTACGAGCGCCATCGTATCAAACCTATTTCTCGATCTGTGGAGGAAGACAAAAAACGGATATTCACAACCGATCCTGTGATTCCATGTAAATATCTTTGGGCAATAAAATAATTCAAAAGTAACTTGTTGCCAGCGTGCCCTTTTTAGAAAAACAAAAACAAAAGAAATACAAATTGTAAGTAAAGAAATATTTAAAAAAATCACCCTCTACCGACTCCTGCAACATTGTTCTTGTGATATTTATGGTGGATTTTAATCCAAAATCTGCTTGTTTATCGTTGTTTAACAATTTGTGAGCAGACTGCGAAAGAAATCGATTACAAATCAAATTAAATTATGAGTAGGCCTACGCTGTAGAATGAAAACAAAAATTAATGCGTGTTAATATTTTCAAATGGTCAATCAACTGACAAAGTTTTGAATGTCATGACCAGTGTTGGTAAAATTGACTCTTTTCTCATAATTTATATTTAAAAACGGAAAGGGAGATGAGAAAGGGAAGAGAGAGAGAAAGGGAAGAGAGAGAGAGAGAGAGAGAGAGAGAGAAGGAGAGAGGGAGAGAGAAAGAGAGGGGTCGAAAGAGAGGGGAGGGGTAACAGGCATAATTATTCACATTTGAAATTCTTTTACGTCTGCTTTTATTTACGTAGGCCTGTTCTTATTTCTTTCTATTTATCAAACTACATTATTATGCAGAAATTAAAAATTAACGATGGTTAGATTTATTTTGAAAAATGAATAAGTCAATAAGAATAAGTACCTAAATATAAATAATATGTTCACTGAGGGTTTCTGTCACAGTGGCAGAGATTGATTTCTTCTCGTGTAAATGCCTATCCACGATACAGTCAATCCACCATACAACATACATTCCTAGAATTATTCAGACTGTACTACTATTGTTTGCTTATGACGTGTATTGAGGATTCACCAATGCACGACGCTTATTTACCGAGAAGAGAGCACAGTCTACTACGACGTCACAATACAGCCGTGTCACCGCGAACGATCGAGAACAATCTGGGATTTTCCCTCTTTCCTGTTTTGCCCTCGCGGCCTCGCAGTCCTTGTTGTTTACTATTCTCCTACTGTGTTCACACTCGAAGCTTCTCTGCCTGGAAGCTTCGCTCGACGCGGCGCTTGGTGCTATATAACCCGGCTCATCGTTTCTCAAACTCCAATTCGAATTTCGACTTCTCACAGTTCAGACGACTCTCTGAGAGAAAAGAAGGCTGATATTTTCAACTGCAAAATTCTTCTACGAGATTGTTCTACTTCTACAGCCATTCAAACGTTTTAGGACCAGAATTCATGCTAATAATTTGTTAAAAGAAACGCAGGTATTTGCAGACAGTTTAAACGGTAAAACGGTTTAACTTTTAGAAGAACTTAATTTGCATTTTGAACGGTTTTTCATCAAAAACTTATAGAAGAACAATAAAATGGCACCAGGAAAAGCACCAGCGATTGGAATTGACTTGGGTACTACCTATTCTTGTGTTGGGGTCTTTCAGAATGGTAAGGTGGAGATCATTGCTAACGACCAAGGAAACCGGACCACACCCAGTTATGTTGCCTTCACAGATACAGAAAGATTGATCGGTGATGCTGCCAAGAACCAGGTGGCAATGTAAGTATATTATTACATTTTCTATGTTGACAAAAGTGTTTACCTAAAACTATATTTAAGGAAATATAATTTCAATGACGGGTGTTGTTGCTTCACAATATTTTTTATGACGGATGGCCAAATTCAAACAGTTTTTGTTCTCAAGAAATTCACTAGGCGTTAATGCTCATGATGAGTAAAGTACAGGATTTAATTTCTATTAAAAAAGTAACATTGCAGTTGGTAATTTGACAGTGTCCAGTGCCGGTCCAGTGGTAAAATTTGGTTTATTTTAACAGTGATTGGGAACAACAATGTGTTTGATTTTTGTCATTTCGCATTTCAAAGCAATTTGGAAATCACATGTGTTCAATCTGTTTCACTCCAGACATATTCAGCCTGTGATCTTCATATTCATTTAACTGTTAGAAAATAAAATGACCATCTTTGTATGAACATAATTATATTCTTTCCAGTTGCATGTTTCCAGGCGTGAAATTGTGATAATTTATAATTATGCACCAACATTTCATGACTAGTTCTAAAATGTTTGCATTGCTTTAAAAAAAAACATGTAATTACCTATTATTTAATTGGACAAAAACACCTTACGCTGGTATATTAGCTAATCAGTATTTACAACGGACTATACCATGTGAGTCAAAAACAAGTTAACACCTAGAAAATTGCTAATTATTTTTAAAATCATCTATGAACAGTAAATTATTATACATCTTATGAAAGAGTGTTTAATCCCAAATCATTTGGTTTCACTTTTGTGTGGTATGTGTTCATGCTTGAGGCATTGTTTGCGAGAGTGCAAAAATCGACTTGCGCCAAAGTGATGCCTACTGTATGTATTAATATGTTGGGATTAGCGGAGTGCAGAGAATGAATTGAATGTATCAAATGAAATGCATTGCATATGCTTTTTGCAGAAGGAAAGTCACCCACACACACGCGCCCACAAATTTTTCGTTGATATTGATATTCGATATTTTATATGTGTTGCATGATCAATTTTGTTAGGGATGTTATTTGGATCTGTAAAGACAGAATTAATACCCAAATCCCGATTGTTTAATTCAAACATCACAATCATAAGCAACTTTGGCGCAAGTCGAATTTTGAACTCACGCAAATCAATGCCTCCTGTTCATCCAAGCGTACACATAACACACTAAATGATACCAAATGATTCGGGATAAAACACTCTTTCATTAAATGTATAATAATTTAAAGTTTGTATATGATTAAAAAATAATTAGCAATTTTCTAGGTGTATTTTTTGTGGACTCGCACTGTACTTGTGTCATTAAGCTATGTATCAATAATATTACAGGTGACTATAACCTAACCTTATTTGTTATCATTACAGGAATCCCAAGAACACAATCTTTGATGCCAAACGTCTTATTGGGAGGAGATTCACAGATGACAACGTGCAATCAGACATGAAGCACTGGCCTTTCACCGTCATCAATAAAGGAGGCAAGCCGGTGCTACAGGCAGAGTACATAGGAGAAAAGAAGACAATGGCACCAGAGGAAATCAGCTCCATGGTCTTGACCAAGATGAAGGAGACAGCTGAGGCTTATCTTGGCCAGCAGATCACCGATGCCGTCGTCACTGTTCCCGCTTACTTCAACGATGCACAGCGACAGGCGACGAAGGACGCAGGTGTGATCGCAGGGCTCAACGTCCTCAGAATCATCAACGAGCCCACCGCTGCCGCCCTAGCTTACGGACTCGATAAGAAGCTGAAGGGGGAGCAACATGTCCTCATCTTCGATCTCGGTGGTGGTACGTTCGATGTCTCGATCCTGGCCATCGATGATGGGATGTTTGAAGTGAAGTCGACAGCCGGTGACACTCATCTCGGAGGAGAAGACTTTGATAACAGACTAGTCCATCATCTTGCTGAGGAGTTCAAGCGAAAGCATAAGAAAGATATGAGGTCCAACCCAAGATCGCTTCGTCGCCTCCGCACAGCAGCGGAGCGAGCAAAGAGAACACTGTCAAGCAGTGCTTCAGCAAACATCGAAGTTGACTCACTCCACGAAGGCATCGACTTCTACACCAGTGTCAGCAGAGCACGCTTCGAGGAGCTGTGTTCAGATCTCTTCAGAAAGTGTTTGCAGCCAGTAGAAAGGGCCATCATTGATGCTAAGATCGACAAGAACAGGATTGACACCGTGGTACTTGTCGGTGGATCAACACGAATCCCGAAGGTCCAGAAGCTTCTCCAGGAATACCTCAACGGCAAGGATCTCAACAAGTCTATCAATCCTGATGAAGCTGTTGCCTATGGGGCTGCTGTCCAAGCTGCCATCCTCTCTGGCGACCAGAGCGAAGAAATCAAAGATGTTCTTCTCGTCGATGTGGCTCCCCTCTCTCTTGGAATTGAGACAGCAGGAGGTGTGATGACAAAGCTCATTGAGAGGAACACAAGAATCCCAACAAAGGCAACCCAGACATTCACAACCTACTCTGACAACCAGGCAGCAGTCACCATTCAAGTACTCGAAGGAGAAAGAGCTATGACCAAAGACAATAATCGACTTGGCCAGTTTGAGTTATCCGGTATCCCTCCTGCACCTCGGGGCGTCCCTAAGATCGAAGTCTCTTTCGACATCGACGCCAACGGCATCATGAACGTCACTGCCAAGGACGAGAGCACGGGTCGTAGCAACAAGATCACCATCACCAACGACAGCGGAAGGATATCTAAAGAAGACATTGATCGCATGATCAACGATGCCGAAAGATTCAAGGCCGAAGATGATGCTCAGCGGGAACGCATCGCCGTCAGGAACCAACTCGAGAGCTATGCCTTCAACATCAAGTCCGCAATCAATGACGCATCGGTAGAGAGCAAGCTTAGCTCCAGCGACAAGGAAGTCGTAACAAAATCAGTAGATGACGTCATTACTTGGATGGATAACAACTCTTTGGCAAACAAGGAAGAATTCTCGTTCAAGTTGGAAGAGTTGCAGAAGACATGCTCTCCTATCATGGCTAAATTACACGCTGGTAGTAGCCCAGGTCACCCGGGACCACAAGCCAACTCATCTTCAGCAGGCAGTGGAGGGCCAACCGTTGAGGAGATGGATTAAATTCCAGCCATCGTCATCATACAGTGTAGGTGTTGTAGTCTAGTAGATAAGACACCCGACCGCAGAATACAAGGTACGGGGTTCAAATGCCAACCCGGCACTAACGTCCTATGGCAAGTCGATAATCTACATTTGCCATATCCACCCATGTGCTAATGGGCACCAAGTAGGATGTGAAAGTTAATGTACATTATATGAGCGACAGTGTAGTTTGCTCAGCATTTTGAGCGTCTATAAAATGGCGCCTGGCTGGAATAATCCCCGTGGAGTAGAGATTGTGCCTACATTGTGTGCGGGCAAGCCTGAATTAGATGACCGGGGTAATAATATATTTGTAAAGCGCTTAGAGACATTGCCAGTGTAAAGCGCTATATAAAAGCGATGAAAAAATGAAAATATTTACAATGTATTTCCATTCACGTGTCGGGCCAAGTGTGATTTTAAAGATAAACTTGAGTTCTGGTAACAAAAGAAAATGAATTCTCACAGAATCAAACGAAACTTACACTGAATGTTCAAGAGTACAAATAAATGTAATTTGCCAAACAATTTTGGTAGAAAATGTATACTGGCTGAGTAATTAGCATAGAAAGATAAGGAAATCAAGATTAATAGCCCCGACACCATTTGTGTAGTCCCATATACATCTTTTTGTGTACAGTGCTTGTTACTTTACCAAGACTGGGTCAAATTTATTATGCTTTTGATGACCCCAGAACCTTGCAATACACACCAATGCTTACATGCTACATGATCATCTTTTTCTGATCCATTCCACACCTTTTCTTTCACAATGCAATCGCATGACCAGAACTCAGCTTTATCTTTAACGAGTTGAATTTGACAAATCAGATCCCAAATGTATGTTTTACATTATCTTATAAGAATTTCTATGTGGCTCATTAATGTAAGTTAATTTTACATCAACTGTTTGTACTGGCGAAATTTTCGTTACAATATACAAAAACCTATTCGTTTTATTCGAACGATATTCCAGATTACTAGTCATTTTAGTACGTTTTTTTGTACCTATAATATATGTTGCTCTATGTCGATCAAGCCACGAGCAAATATCTGGGCCGTCAAGAACAGTGATTGTTCAGAAAGTAAATTTATTTTAAAGTTTACCATATAAGTAGTTTGATTTGGTATCAAATTATTATTTATAAAGTGTATAAATTATGCTAAAGTGAATAAAGTATATTACTTATCAATTTTTATAAGAAAAGGAAAAAACTTGTACATCGTATTTTCTGGACTTTATGATGGATGGTGTTTTTGGAAAGGGAAAGAAATAGGAAGAGCATCTACATAAAATATTGATGTCAAAAGGAGTGGAACGGTCAGAAGAGGGAGACTGCAGAGAGGGAGAGAGAGAGAGAGGAGATCATGACAAGAGAGATAATGAAGAAGAGTTGAGATAGAGAGATAGAAAGAGAGAGATAGAAAGGTGAGAAATAGAGAGACAAGAGAGACAGATAGAGAGGAGGTGAGAATTTTTTTTGATGTGGCACATGTCACTTGTGTTCAACTGAGATCAATATACTGAAACAGAAAGTGACAATGAGAGACACAGAGAGGGATACAGAGAAAGAGAGCAAATAGGGGAATGTGAGAAAGTGTTAGGTGTTCTGGATGAGAGAGAGAGAGAGAGAGAGAGCGCGCGAGAGAGATAGGGAGGGGGTATAGACAAGTAATTTATTCACATTTGAAATTCTAGTCAGCCATTCTTTACTTTAATATGCCTGTTCTTATTTCTTTCTAACTACATAATTTTGCAGAAATTAATTAATCGATTTATTTAGAAAAATGAATAAGTCAGTAGAATAAGTACCTAGATAATAAATGACATGTTCCCTGTGGGCTTCTGTCACAGTGGTAAGAGATTGATTTCTTTTCTTGTCCACCATACAACGTACAGACTGTGATCTATTAATGTTTGCTTGTGACGTGTTTTTAGTAGTATGCACGTCGTATGGCGAGAAGAGAGCACAGTCTACTATGACGTCACAATACTAGTCGTGTCACCGCGGACGTTCGAGAACAACTTAAGCTGGGTTTTCCCAAAAAGATACCAGCTAATATATCCTCCTTGGTTTTCCCCACTTCCCTTCTTTGCCATCGCAGTCCTTGTTGTTTATTATTTTCCTATCTAATAAATTGTGTTCATTCGCGAAGCTTCTCTGACTAGAAGCTGCTCTAGACGCGGTGTTTGGAGACTCTCTGAGAGAAAAGAAGGCTGATATTTTCAACTGCAAAATTCTTCTACGCTTTTGTTCTATTTTTACAGCTGTTCAACCACTTTGAGACCAGAACTCCTGCTAATAATTTGATAAACTGATACGCAGATAAATTATTTGCAGACGGTTTTTCATCATTAAAAAAATGGCACTAGCAAAAGCACCAGCGATTGGAATTGATTTGGGTACCACCTATTCTTGCGTTGGGGTCTTTCAGAATGGGAAGGTGGAGATCATTGCTAACGATCAGGGTAACCGGATCACACCTAGCTGTGTTGCCTTCACAGATACAGAAAGATTGATCGGTGAAGCTGCAATGAATCAGGTGGCAACGTAAGTATATTAAAACATTTCAAATTCCCCACTCCTGATGACGGTTAGTCAACCTGTTCGAAACGCCGAGCCCCTCCTAATGCCCATCCTCTCCAACCGGCGCTATACATCTTGAGAAATATAAGCTCAAGAAAGATTAGTACTCCCCTATCCTTCCCCTCTCTCACATGGTGCGACCGTAAGCCTAGGCGCGGATCCAGTATTTCTTAGGGGGGCCCAAATTTGAAATTATGCGAGCCAAATATTGGTACGTAATGGTGACACCGGCAGTTGCAAAAACGTTCGGGGAGGGGGGTAGAACAAATCCCCATCACCCCACTCTTACATGCAGGCCCCGCTGAATGTTTATCGGCGAGGGTCAAGGGGTGGAGCCCCCAGAAGCTCAGGGGTATAGGCATTTAATTACTGTCAGATGAGCATATTTTGATACATTATTTATGACAATGACAGGACACAAATTGGTGTGGGGTCTAGGGGGCGGAGCTCCCAGAAGCTCCGGGGTTTTCAGAAGCGGATCTAGAGGGGGGGGGGGGGGGGTTGGGGGGTTGCAACCCCCCCAAAAAAAAATCCGGGGACCATTTTTTTAAATCTTATCTTTTTTTTTAAACTTGTAATTTTATTTTATTCTATTTCTATGTATTTATTTCATTTACTATTATTATTATTATTATTATTATTATTATTACTATTATTATTATTATTTCTTTTTGGGGGGAGGGGGGGGGGGGGTTGGGCGAACAAATGTCACAGAGTCCCTTGCCCCCCCCCCCCCCATCAGCTTTTTTGAGGACACGGGCCACCGCCGAAGTGACAAGCTAGGCCAGCGTTGCCGATTCTCATCCCCAAAATCCCCACATTAAAAAAAAAAAAAAAAATTGGGGGATTTTTGAAGTCTTTGGGGATGAAAAATAAATATTTGGGAATGAAAATAATATTGAGTTTTATGAAAAACGAATTTGGGGATTTTCTGTCAAAATTTGGCAACTTTGGGGATATTTTAAGTGTCGTTTCAGTACGATAGCAATTTGGATATTTCTACCCAGGGGCGTAGACAACGGGGGGGGGGGGGGGGGGGGGGGGGATGAGGGGGATGGCATGTACAATCATCCCCCCCCCAGGTTTTGGGGAATGATATTTGCTTACTTAATAAGTCATAATGATGATAATAATAGTAATAATTATAATGATAACAATTATAATAATAATAATAATGATAATTATGATGATGATAATAATAATCCTCATCATTATTGTGTTTATTGTTATTAGCCGCATTCACACGGTGAAAGCCAATTCAGAAAAAAAAAGAAAATCTTACAAGTATTTTGTGGTTATCTTGTGGTTTGGAAACCACAAGATAACCACAAGATTAAACAGGCGCAGATCTACGGGTGGGGGGTTAGGGGGTTTAAACCCCCCCTTGGGCGGCCCCCCCCCCCCCAAAAAAAAAAAAAAAAGAAAAAAAGAAAAAAAGAAAGAAAAAAGAACGCACGCTGGAGAGAAACCCTTTCAAGTGCAAATATTGTGAGAAGATATTCAACTCATCTGGTAACTTAACCAAACACATGATAACTCTATTGTATTTAACTATACTTGATTTAAAAAGACGTTATCATGCACTGCTTTTTATGGTCTCCTTTGTGTTAATAGATGCCAGGAAAACATCACTTACGGGGTTCAAATAAACACCCCCCAAAAAATCGGTTCGCCTCTTCGCGGCTCGTGGACGATGCTCCGCATCGTCATTATTTTGGTCAACCCCCCCCCCCCTTAGCAAAAAGCTAGATCCGCCCCTGGTTTTATACATTAAGTAACGGTCAGATGAGCACAATTTGATACCTTATTTGTGACACTGGCAGGTCACGAATTGACATGGGGTCCAGGGGGCGAAGCCTCCGGAAGCTCAGGGGCTTGGTGCAATAAATAACGGTCAGATGAAATTATTTTGATACCTTATTTGCGACACTGGCAGGTCACGAATTGGCGTGGGGTCCAGGGGGCGGAGCCCCCGGAAGCTCAGGGGTTTGGGGCAATGAATTACGGTCAAATGAAATTATTTTGATACCTTATTTGTGACACTGGCCGGACACAAATTGGTGTTGTGTCCAGGGGCGGAGCCCTTAAAAGCTCACATTATATCTTATTTGTGACACTGGCGGGACACAAATGGTGTTGGGTCCAGGGGGCGGAGCCCTCAGAAGCTCAGGGGTTTTATACATCAAATTATCGTCAGATGAGCATAATTTTATACCTTATTTGTGACACTGGAAAGTCACGAATTGTCGTGGGGACTGGGGTCCAGGGGCGGAGCCCCCGGAAGCTCAGGGGTTTTGGGCAATAAATTACGGTCAGATGAGCATAATTTGATACCTTATTTTTGACACTGGCAGGACTGTAAGTACATGTACTAATCAGTGTAAGTAGCAGCACATGAATTATTATACAATCAAATAATGAGTCAAATAATGAGTAATTACAGTAATATATTATAAGAAATGCACAGAATTTAGAACCAATTATCAATTATCAATTACAGCTGACAATAACATATTCTTATTTATTATCATTACAGGAATCCCAAGAACACAATCTTTGATGCCAAACGACTTATTGGGAGGAGATTCACAGATGACAACGTGCAATCAGACATGAAGCACTGGCCTTTCACCGTCATCAATAAAGGAGGCAGGCCAATGCTGCAGGCAGAGTACATGGGACTACAGAAGACATTGGCTCCAGAAGAAATTAGCTCGATGGTCTTGACCAAGATGAAGGAGACAGCTGAGGCTTATCTTGGCCAGCAGATCACCG